CTGGGCACCCATCATTTGTCCTACACAACCACTGCCGTACCGTCCTCTTTATCCTGAAAAAGAAACAGGGCGTGGAAGAATTGAACAAGGCATACTATATTACAAAATACTCAGCCCCAGCCAAGCTTCAGGCCTTAGCCCCAGCCAAGCTTCCTCAGCTCGCTGGACTGCCCACAGTTGCTCTAATGCTTTGAGAGCTAAGCAGAGCCTGATTCGAAACTGCCGCTTTATGGTTCCTGCCTGTTTTGTCTTCTAAAGATGTGGGCAAGTGTTGCTCTAGCACCGCAAACCTTGCAATTTTCTGTGAAATAAAGATCAGAGTAACAGAGGTGAAAGAGAACTGGGTTTGGATAAGTATGTGTTTACAGTTGTTATCACATTACTGCCAGCTCTTTATTTAATATGTCGCGTGACGAAGAGTATTTGCACCTTCCTGGCTTGTAGTGCTGTGTTATGCATTCCTTCCAATACCACTCTTTCTGGCGTAGAACTTCATTCGAGGCGGCGTTTGCAACGGTATGCTTCACAAGCTCTCGAGCGGCCGCATGCGACACTTTGTTGTCAGTCAGCAAGGTTTGACTGTGTGCGCGGGTTCATATGATGAATGTGTCATTTTTTTTCACAATTTTCCGCTTGTTATTCATTACAATTCGCAGTGCTCAAGAAACATAGCCGTTCACAGCTACGTATCGCCGCTTGCGAGTCACTAATTACTACTTTGGCCTCTGTAGTGACCACCTCGAGGGCGATGGCCACCTCCTCAGCTGTCTCTGTGAGTGGTGTTTGCATCGTAACGCTCGCCTAGCATGCCTCTTTACAGTCGACCACCACAGCCGCGCAATCACACCTGTGCGCATATCTGGCCACATTTACAAATATCGCTTCCTTGCAATGTCCGAATTTCCTCTGCAAGTCCTCCACCCTCTGCTTTCTTTGACCAGTCTGATGTTTTGGGCGCATATTTTTGGGGAATGACAGAACTACTATTTTTTTCTTCATCTTCGCAGGTACGTTGGCTTTCTCACCTTCCTGCGTATGATAGTGTAACCCAGATCTTCGAAGAAGTAACTGCCTGTTTTTGTCTTTTAAAGTCCTTCCTACTGTGCTATGTCATGCGCTTCTATCTATTTGTTGAAAGCATTGTGTAAACCTAGTTCTAATGATTTCACTACGTGTGTTCTTGGGTAAACATCATCATTATCATCAGCCTGACTCCGTCGACTGCAGGGCAAAGGCCTCTCCCATGGTCCACTAGTCAACACCGTATTGTGCTTTCCGTTACCACGTTATACCTGCGAACTTTTTAATCTCATCAGCCCACCTAACTTTCTGTCTCCCCTTCGTGCATTTGCCTTCTCTGGAAATTCATTCAGTTACCCTTAATGACCAGCGGTTGCCGACCTACGTGTAAATGTAAGGGTAAACATAAAGCTTGCTTATACACTTTTCTAATTAAGTAATCTAATTTTATCTTCTGGGCGGCCTACCATTTTTAATAAGCGGCGACGTACTTCATTCTACGAAGGACGAAAACTTTCACAGGCTTAATTGTGTAACCTTTTTTTTATACCACTAAGTCTGTTTGTAATTCATTTTAGCAATCCAATTGTCTGATTTACCACGCTTTCCAACTTGCGAACAGTTTCTCTGTTGTGCCCATTGGCTGCAATATGCAAGCCTAACACGCATATCTCGTCTATTTTGGGAGTGATGAGACCATCTAAGGTTGTGAACCGTATCTTTCCTTCTGCGTTACTTCCACTTTGTTCACTGTCTTTGGGTTTTCGATTTTTACGCATAGGTTTGTAAACTAGTAGCTCTGATTTCGCAGTGGATCAGGCGAGGCCTGTGCCCTCACTATGAGCCGTCTTCATGGCTCTCGGTAGTGTTTGTTCTATTTGGCCGTCACGTCCCCGAGTTACCTACAGAGTAATGTCATCTGCGTGCAGACTGTGGCAGAGCCTGTCGATCTCCCCCATTTCTGCAGGAGACCCTATGAATGAGAGGTTACAGAGCAAGGGCGAAATCGCCAAGCTCTGAAAAGTGCTGGCGCTACCCATCTCTATCTCCCCGAACTCGATATCCCAGGGTGATCCTCGCTGTCCTGTGCATGAGAAAATCCCAGACATAGTCATACCTCACTTTAATGAGTTCTGATTGATCGATATGTGGGGTTTCACGTCCTAAAATGGCAGATTTCTTAGCACTTCCCTGGTCAGATAACTAGTCAACGTGTCACGGAAAGTATTTGTGTTATTTAGACATGCGATGCTATCTGGCAGGGAGTTCCAACATCGGACAGCACGTGAAAGTACTGAGCTATTGAATGCACGTGTTGACCCGTAAATGCACGAAAAGCTAAAATGATTATGAAGCCTGTGTGACGTAGAGTAGGGTCGTGTCAAACATGCCAGTGTTCTAGATGAGTGAATGAATTTGTGAAACAGTGTCAGCAAGGCAATGTCACAGCAGGTACTCAAAGGTTGCAATGAAAGGTCAAGGTTGATTTGCGTGATAATAGACTGATATTTGTAATTGTTGGAAATGAAGCGGCTTGCCCTGTTTTGAACTCCTAATATGTTGATCAGGTATTTATGGTGAGGGGACCAAATAGGGGAGGTGCACTCGAGTTGAGGGCAAACAGGAGTGAGGTATGCTAGCTTACGTATATTCCGAGGAGTGTTTTTTCGATTTCGACACAGGTATTCCATGGATCGGGAACCTTTGGCAGATATGGAGACGATGTGGTCAGACCAAGAAAGATTTGAAGTCAATGTAATTCCTAGGTATTTATATTGTGTAGCAATTGCAAGAGAGTCTTTATTGATATAGTATGCATACAGTGAAGGTGTAGCTTTCTGTGTAATTGACATTACTTTGCATGCCATTAACCATGTACAGCACCACTTATATGTTCTAGGTCATGTTGAAGAACCAGATGATCGTCCGTATTTTTTGTTGGGCAATAGACTATGCAGTCGTCGGCAAATATTCTTATAGTAGAGGATGTGGGCGATCATTGATGAATAAGAACCGAGGACGCTTCCCTGTGGTACACCACACGATACTTCATTTGAGGAGGATGAAAAGTTATTTGCAATGATGAATTGGTGACGATTAGAAAGAAAATTCCGAAGCTATGATAAAGTCATATATTCCAGTTTAAAGCTGAAAGTTTTGAAATAAGGCGGCAGTGTGCGACACGGTCGACCGCTTTGGAAAAGTCAAGAAAAAAACAGTCAGCTTGTAAGTTCTTGTTCAAGTTTGTGTGTAAGTATGTCGTAAATTCAAGAGCTGCGTTTCACACGATAGACCTTTTCTAAAACTATGCTGATTATAGAAAAAAGTTGTAAGTCTCAAGGTGTCTGTAAATCTGCGAGGTGATAATGTGTTTGAGCAACTTACAAGAAATGCATGTCAAGGAGATTGGACTAGATAATTTATTGCCATTTTTTAATACCAGTATATCTATATAAGGGAGGAGGCCAGTTGCGAGTGTGCTTAATATGTGAAGAAGAATTTCACTCGACACTATGACTGTATTCCGTAACATCTTTGAGTTTATACCACATACGCCACATGAAGATGACATCTTAAGGTTATTAATGAAGTGATGATATTCCTTCTGATAAGATTTCTATGGGTTCCATGTATTGGTAGCTGAGAACAGGAACATGAGGTATGCTTAAGGTGTCTTTTTTTGTGAATATTGAACTGAAGAATGAATTGAGAGCCGTAGAACATTTACTGGGAGGGGAACATTGCTGCTGTCATGCAAGGTGATTTCATTAGATTCGTTGCTAAGACTTTCCACAACTTAGCTGGATTATTTTTAAATAGTTCAGAAAGGTGGTTAGAGAAATACGGTCCAATCTCGATAATTTGAACTCGAAGAGGCCCGAAAATTTGTTTTAATTAAAAGAAGTTTGTATTAATGAAAGCTAAATAAATGGAAGGCTCTCCATGCAGTGGCCCATGTTTATTGAGCTAACAGACAAGGAGGAAGTTTCAGAAGACTAAGGTTCAACACACGTCTGCCTGGGCTAAGGTTCAAGAGTGTTCCCACTTTTGAACCTTAACCCAGGCAAACGGGTGTTGCACATGTTGGTGTCACTTCTTTCCGCTGCAGCGCAGTGTGTTCAGAAATAACACACCGTGAGTGTACTTCATCTGTGGTCACGTTGGCAGGAAAATTGAATAAGTGTCCAAGTGCAAAGAGGGCCTAGCTTCCCTCACAAGTACCCCTGGGGAGGCCGCATCCAAACCTCACGAAAGTGCCCCCACATAGATGAGGTTTTTTTCAAGAAGGCTGCTTACATCATCCCTCACGCGGCCTTTTTTCTACAATAAAAGCAATTGATAAAGCTGTCTAGAGCCATTTCACGAAAACTCCATATTTGGTTACATGTTTTGGATTGCACTGGAAAAGTTGGAGTGGTTGCCAGTGCATTTTTTGAGTTATGCAAACTCAGTTGCGGGCACGGGACGAATGCAAGCATGGTCTCCAATGTGTTCGTATTTGCCTGTTTTAGGTCCTGTTTATGCTCACTGCCTCGAATTCGAGTTCAACCCCCGCAATCAACAAGAGGGAACAGCATCAGCTTCCATTTCCAAGGTATTTACATCTGTCGTCGACACCGCTTCTGGCCACGTGTAGCAAAGACGCCTGCATCGAAACCATCTGCCAATCATCGACAACCACGCCATGGACCGCTGCCTACTTAACTGGCACGGTGGACGCCCACCGACTCAGTTGCGGGCATGGGACGAATGCAAGCATAGTCTCCAATGTGTTCGTATTTGCCAGTTTGCAGGTCCCAAACAAGATCCGTGGCACTTGTTTGCTTCCGAGTCCACGGATAAATAAACGTCGATACAACTGAGTCATCATAATACTTTTAGCAAGCTCTAGTTATTTTGCCCTGAACAAAGAAACAATGAGAAAAAGAAATAACAGAAGATGGGATAGAATCACTTCGTTAATGAAACAAAAAGCTTACATCACTGGGGTCACAAGCTGGTATGATTGGAAACGTATAGATCTTCACATGGTCTGGAGCGAGAACCGGTAGGTGAGCTGCCGTACTCTTCCCATCAACTTCCCCAGCATGCTTCACGATAGCAACTTGTATGGGCAACTGGAAAGTACAAATGAAATGTAATACTAGCAGAAATGCATTGTTGTGCAAGTAGCATGAGAAGCAACACTGGACAGGTGGCGAGAACAAACGAAGTGCTCACTCAGCCATTTTTTTTATTCCACATGCAGAAAGTACACTGCTCGCAGAATGAAACACGACATGAAAACTTTTATTACAAAAACCTTTATAAATAACTACTAGAGATAACCGCATCACGTTGTATGTATCTCGCTGCTAAAGTTAATGTTGGCTCTGATATAAGCAGTATAATTATGCAGGTATGACACGATCAATGGATGGTGAAAACTAAGGTATGAGCATTACTTACCTCCGAATCGTCGCGTTTCAATTCGTGAGCACTGTGCCCGCGGATATCCATACTGTCTTAGTACCTTGCAGTCTCATAAAACTTTGCAACACCTTTGGCAACAATGAGTTGGCTACCTGTAATGCTTCTAACTCTTTTACAGCGAAAACTGTTATGAGATACTTTTCTGGTCACACGCAGTTGCAGGTTGTCCGCACTACAGCCATAATTCCTCATCATTGTCAGCCACTGCGGACAATGGGCACAAAATTCCTTGGAAGTGTTTAGTGGATACCAGGCTTCTCACAATAATGACAAAAAATAGCATAGCGAATGCTGGCCTACTACCCAAAAGCTTATTATTAATCCCTAGTGGGTATCAAGCCAGTGTACTTGCAGTAGTTACCCAATGAATGTTTTGAAAATGCTCTGAAAGTCTGAATGTTCAGACATTCTTAAGAATTTATGATTCACCATTACGACATTCAGAAACAGCCTTTATTTCCACCCCGGAATCATTTTTTGCTGCTAGATGGCCGCGATTTCACATGCCACAAATTATATTTGTGCAAAATTTACTGGAGCCTCTAAACGTACGTATATGCGACATCATGCCGAGTCGCGATTATTCAGCCCCGGTGGAAATTCAATTCGACGACATTTTTCCTAATAATGCCAAATTACTTCCCCATAATATTTTGGATGGTTTACTACAAGATCACCTGCGCCGTACTACAATGAACGTTAAGATTGCTACAGACGCATCGCAATACGACGAAAAGTCGGGGGTTGGTATTTTCAGCCCGATTACAAATTGAATTTATTCCCTTCGACTACCCGATTTCATACTCGTTTTTGTGGCTGAGTTTTTGGCAGTAGTGCTCGCCTTACGCAAGTTAGATACAGCAATTACATCAGCTGTCATAACAACAGATTCCCTATCTCTCTGTGCATCACTTTCTGTTGGTGCTGATAATCACGTAACAAAGGCGTTCCGTGCACTAGTACCTGCGCATTTTAGAAAAGTACGATTAGTTTGCGTGCCTGGACATAAAGCTTTGTTTCTAATGGTGCATTCAGACGACGGACCGAATCCGGATTTGTCGTGCACGCGGACGGCTAATCCGCGGATGATCCGCCTGCAGGCGCATCCACACGACGGACGGTGTCCTAGGAGAAAACAGCCGGATTACCCTCGACAGCAGTTTCGGCGTTCACCTGCGCCCGCTGAAAGCAGACAGGTTTGAGAGTATTCAACATGGATGCCCGCAAGAAGCGACGCTTGACTGCGATGTCTGTCGCGTTGTGACAAATCAACGAGGAGTGTTATTCTTTCAGGAGGAAAGGTTGTTGCTGGCAGAATGTTCTTTCAACTACATTGCTCCCTACTTGTAGAACTTTTGAACGCGTCCCCCATCCTTTTTTAGAAGCGGTACGTCGCCGGTTGCAAAAGTTAGAATATTTCACCACCATGACGGCTAAGAATCTCGCGTGTCAAACGACGGCGGCGACATTTCCCGAACCACCAAAAGTGATTTCTGCGTATTTAATCACCTGAGAACAAAGCCCCCGGAAACTAAGTAAACTATGCTCAAGCGTAGATGATGCCGACCAGTCATGCAGCTATCCGCGAGCCATGGAGGACATGCCACGAGCAGACGAAAAGTGTACTGGTTGCCAGAAACCCCGAGCTAATCCGCTGAAGTATCGGCTTTCTCCCGCCAGAATCCCGATGTGAGAAACAGGTTGGGTTCATCCGTCCGCGAGCCGCGCTGACGAGTCGCGGACGAGGGGAATCGCTGATGTGAGGCCACGTGACGCGCCGTCCGCCCCGCCACATCCGGATTCGGTCCGTCGTCTGAATGCACCATAAATGAAATAGCCGATTCCTTAGCTAAGTCGTCCATCAGCGAACCAATTTTAGCGCTTTGTCCATCATCCGCTTACGTGACTGCTGCTCGATTCTGCAGACGTATGCTTATGCAATTTAAAGGTTCAGCGCTAACAAACTCTACAGAATATCGCCATTTATTATATCCCTGGCGAAGAGACTTTTGCCGCACTCGAAAACAAGAAGTAGCTCAAGACTGCATTGCCGGGTACCAAATCTAAATTTCTATAAACACAGGTTTGCTCAGGCACCTTCGCCACTGTGTGCATTCTGTGATGGACTGGAAACAATAGACCATTTCTTTTTGACCTGCAGACGGTTTAACACATTACGAAAAACCCTATTAGAAATACATTTACGTGGTATTGGTATGGACTTATCTCTGCCTGTCATTTTGTCTTTTGGAGCTTCCATTTCTGGTTTCTCTAATGCGACAGTATGCGTGGCCGTCCGGGACTATATTGATGAAACTAATAGGTTGACTAATTAACCAGTTCCATTATCCTAACATGTCCACATAATTACATACGTATAAAATCAGATTATTGCTCTATTCCAAGAATAAATTCGTTTATGTAAATATTTGTATGCATTACATTAAGCACCAGACTTTCCTAGGCTATCGGTAATCTTTCTGTTAAACCTCCATCATTCCAAATCTGAACCATAAATTTTAACACCACTCGATTCTTGGCCAATCCCTCACAGTGGGTATGCGCCACTCTCGATAGGAGAACAACAACAACAACAAGGCCGCTCTTCTAGCTTTCGCTGTGACTGTGCTTGGCCTACGGTGCAGGCCTGGTGTTTTTTCATCTGACTTCGCAAAACAGCAAAACGCTGGTGCATGAGCATAGGGCTGCTTCAGGGAAAAGAGCAGTGCTTGTGCAGTGATATCATAACACGTAGAAGGGTACACGGGCTGTTCGCTGATGCCTGTTGGAGTAGCACACGCTAACACTCATGTCTGCGCCATTATAATTAAAGTTCACAGTTGCGGATAGAGCTACGCAGCCTCCAACCTGTGCGTCTCTTCATACTCCTTCATTGAGCCAAAGATTGACAGGGGTTCCTTTCCTGACGTGGAGTGATGTTATCACATGAGCCCTCCGTGCGATGGAGATGGACAGCTTGTTTCATCTTTGCTTCAGCAGTGTTCCTCACTAGCGCTCGCAAAATATAATCCACGGAACAGCATTAGAAAAGGCGACATTAGAGTTCAATGAACCAAAGGATCAAGCAGGATTTCATACAAGCTACTCCACAATAGACCGTATTCTTACTATCAATCAGGTAAGAAAGAAATGCGCGGAATACAACCAACCCCTATACATAGCCCTCATAGATTACTAGAAGGCATTTGACTCAGTCAAGACATCAGCATTAATGCAGGCACTACGAAATCAGGGCATCAAAGAGCCCTACATAAACATACTGGAAGAAATCTACAGTGGATCCCTAGCCATCATAGTTCTCCATGAAGAAACCGACAATCCCAATGAAGAAGGGTGTAAGGTAGAATGACACAATCTCTCTAATGCTATTCGCCACATGTTAAGAAGTGGTTCTCAGGACCCTAGATTGGGAAGAATTCGTGATAAAGAGTTAATGGGGAGTGTCTTAGTAACCTGCAGTTTGCTGATGACATTGTCTTGATGAGTAACTCAGGGAACAAATTACAGCTAATGTTTACAGAACTGGGAACAGGCAGCAGTGAAGTAGGTCTGAAAATTATTACGCACAAAACTAAAGCAATGTGCAACAGTCTCGGCAGAAAACAGCACTTTGCAATAGGTGGAGAGACGTAGAGGAATATGTCTACTTAGGAAAGGTAGTAACCGAGGAGCTGAACTATGACAGTGAAAGAACTAGACTAATAAGGATGGGGTGGATCACATTCGGCAAGCATTCTCAAATCATGAATAGTAAGCTGCCACTAACCCTCAAGAGGATTGTATATAACAGCTGCATCTTGCCAGTACTTACCTTGAAGCAGAAACTTGGAGACTTACAAAGAAAGTTCAGCTTAAATTGAGGACGAGCAGCGAGCGATGGAAAGGAAAATGATAGGGCTAACCTTAAGAGACAAGAAGAAAGCACAGTGGGTCAGGGAACAAACTGGAGTGAAGGATATCATAGTTGAAATCAAGAAGAAGAATAAATGGACATGGGCCGGGCCCGGAGGGAGGATAACCGCTGATCATTTAGGGTAACTGACTGAATTCCCACAGAAGGCGAACGCACGAAGGGGAGACAGAAAGTTAGGTGGGCCAATGAGATTTAAAAGTTTGCAGGTATAACGTGACAACAAAAAGCACAAGACCGGGTTGATTGGCAGACCATGGGAGAAGCCTTTGCCCTGCAGTGGGCATAGTCAGGCTGATGGTGATGATGATAACATTACAAATCTAGGCAAACGTGATCGTGAGCACACAGTGCATTCATTACACTTGTCAGCTCGCAATGCTGGTGAGAGGCTTTTAAGTTGATGAACTTCTCTCAGTGAAAACCTTCCAAAACAATGTGGCAACTCACAAGAGTAATTGAAGTCTACGAAGGAGATGATTGCCACGTTTGCTAGTGCAAGATAAAGCGACAAGCCAACCTTGTGACTACGAGTGCAATACAAAGATTGTACCTGCTAGAACAACTAGTGTGACACCACTGCGTGGCCGGGATTGTTGAATTTCCCGTGCTCATCGCACAAGAATAGGAAAAACTGCAATCTAGCGAGCTTGTGAGCTCTTTGAAAGAAGACGACGAGAAGCATTGTTTTAATGTTCTGAGCTCGTACGGACA